AAATTTCTCAAGTTGCTTCTCCAGCCAAGCACACTGGGTTAGGGTCTAGGGTTTAGGGTTGAGTTCAAGGTTTCGGTAGTGAGTGAGTGAAAAGAAACCGGACCACAGATGAACTGCGGTAGGGTGCTTTTATCTATGTTATGTTGTGTATGTATATGGATCACTGGGAGCATCCGCTACAACCCGGAACCTAAACCCGAAATCCTACCATGAGCTGCCCGAAAATACCGCTGTTAAAGCACCTACTACTGCTGGTATTGCTGCTGCTCCCGCTGCCCCTACTCATACCGGCAAACCCCAAACCCTTAGCCCCAAGAGCACCGTGAGGGATTAGTATTAGGGTTGGGGATATGTTGCTGTTAGGGGGTTGATGAACACTACTGCGGGCCCAAAAAAGCACATAAGCAACAATTGGGATAGGGTTCAGGGTTTAAGGTTTAGGGTTTAGGGTGTACAAGAGAAATATCCCATATAAACCCCATGTAACGAAGCCCAATAAGGTAGGGATATCCCTATAAAAAGCTCAATTGGAATAGGGTTTTGGGGGTTCCCTCTTAACAATGTAGTATAACATACCCCCAAACCCTATTCTGATTATAAAGGCCCCTATATTATGTCCTTTTGGGTCCGGGCCGCATGGAGCGACTTGTAGCTCGGACACGGCGCAGCCGTCGTTTCCGGAGTCTCCGGCAAATCCTTTTTGGGGTTTAGGGTTCAGGGTTTCAGAAACCTTTGCTGTGGGTTTTGGGTTTAGGGTTTAAGAATCCTTTGCTGTGGGTTTAGGGGTTTAGGAGCCTACTTGCGGGGGCAAGAGACTTAGTAAGTAGTGTTGTAAGTGGGGTTATAGGTGCCTATCCTAAGCTAATAATTACTATGAGCTGCAACGCGCAGATCCTCAACTAGCTTCTTTAAAGCCTCGTAAAAGTATTCCTAAATAGAATCCTTTGAAGCGCAATAAAGGGAAACTCAAAATATCCCAAAGGCCTACCTAGTCAACTCTAGCCAAACTCTTCAAGCCCCGAAATTCTAGACCAGATACCCGACGTTTGTCCATCTTTCAATAAAGTCGGGCATGGGCTCTAAGGGAGTGTTGTCTATTTGATTTGTTTGGGGGATTCGTACTTGGGATCTCGAGCTAATTGGAGCAGCGCTGCTAGAATAAGACATTCGTGCTAATGTCGATGGCCTCTTATTCAATGTCTGGGGTCTCGGGCTGGCAGGGCCTTCTCGGTCAAACCTTGTACCCTGAACCCTGAACCATCACAAGCTACTACATATTTGAAGACCTGAAAGGCCGTAGGAGAAAGAAACGCAATCAATTAATAATGAATAGAGAGTTCCTTTCGGGGGCTCCTTGCTTACGGAGCTGTGTTGTAAAGGTGCCTTTCACAGGTTCCTTCAAAGGGGTCTAGAATCGGGATATAAGAAATTATATACAGGGTGAGCATAAAGCCCTTTGAGTCGATAAGGCTCCATCCGACTTCGGACAGATGCCGGTGGCGTCGCAGGCAGGATGGCCGCCTCTTGCGCAGGGGGACCTCGTCGGCTGTTGGGCTCGGGGCTTTGGGGTTTAGGGTTTTAGGGGTTTGGGGGTTTGGGGTTTAGGGTTTAGGGGTTTCGGGGTTTAGGGTTTTAGGGTTTGGGGGTTTTAGGGCTTAGGGTTTCAAATTAGAGTTTAAGGCTTTAGGATGCATGGCGTAGTGTAGCACTGGCCAGCCGAATTCACCGCTCTGGCCACTGCTGCTTGAGGTCTTGTCAGGAGGTTCGAGTAGCAAAAAATCGAGCCATACGTAGGATAACCAAAGTTATAGCCCATATTAGAGGACTTAAAACCATACTTGTAACTGCCCGTGAAGCTCCAAGCAAGACCAGACCATAGCCGACGGCGTCTAGAAGGGACCCCGCTGCTTGTCCAGTATCATGGTGAACTCAAGTAACTAGAGGTTAAGCTTTGGGGTTTATGTAGTGAATATAGTACACCAGCAAGATTAAAGGTTACCTACTCTACTACTAAACCCCCTTACAGGATGATCCAACCCTAAGGGCTTTGTTTGGCCTCACAGCTGCTGGAATTCCTATATTATATCTAGATCTCTACAAGGCCAAGGGGTTTATCCTGTTTAGGGCTTAGGGTTTAGGGTGCAGGACGAAGATCTGCTTGATTTGGGTGCTGCGGGCGACGGCAGTGCATGTCAGGTTTCGTCTGTATGATTAAGATCCCGTTCGGAGGTCCCAACATGCAAACCCTGAAACCTGGTACTCCTAAACCCTAGACTCCTAAACCCTATACCCCTATACCCTAAAACCTGGTAGCCCTAAGCCCTATAAGCTTAAACCCGTTAAACCCCACAACCTGCCAACCCTAAACCCTAAGCCCTAAACCCCTAAACCCCTAAAACCTGGTAACGCATGGGGGGGGGGGTTAGGGAGCTTCTTCGTGTTCTCGAGGCTCCAGGCCACGCCACTTGGAAAGAAGCTGAGCCTGACCACCAGAGGTGGGTAGTTCTCTAAACCAGGGTCCCTTTTTAGGTCCACAAGATAGTACGGCACCCTCATAAAATGGCGCTTGTTTTGACCCTAATTTAGAGAACTACCCAGGTAGCCTGAACAAAGCAAGCAACAGAGCCACGACTTCGGGGGTTTCAAGGTTTTTGGGGTGTAGGCTTTAACCTATCCGGACAGCATTGAACTAGACATCATGCCCTAAGCCCTAAACCCTAAACGATGGTTATTGGGGATCTTGTGTCAATACATGAATGCCTGAGTCTCACACTCAGATTCTCAACCTGATGCCTTGTGGCCCTATTACCTAAACCCGTAGCACCACCTAACCCCTGAACCAAAATTTCCGATACTGTAGGGGCCTTGATAATTAGAATCGGGCCTTGTATATGATTATAACAAGGAGCCCCTAAAATAGTAGTAGTAATTATCAAGGCCTCTATAGTAGTACTCTAAATTCATAAAGAGCCAAGAAGGAACCCAAAAGGCTTCTAGATGACTCTCTCCACCGTCCTACTAGCGCCGAGGCTCCCCGAGCAAGCCCCGATTTCGAGGCAACTTGAGTCCGCCGACGCCGGTAGCGGCGGTAGCAGGCCTCTACTTGGAGGTTCATGGGCAGTTGTAAGTGGGGTTATAAGTAGGGTAACTATCCATGTTAGGGGACTTATAACCCTACTTATAACTACCCATGAACCTCCAAGTATGAGAGGTTTTAGGGCTTAGGGCTCTGTCTGGGGCCCGATCTTCCTAGATGCAGGACGACTCCAGCATGATCAGGTCCCTACCGTAATTTACCGTAGATTCCCCCCTCAGCCCTGAACCCGAAACTTTAGCTTAAGGATGTTTAAGGCTTACAGTAGTAATTGTATTCTTCCCTAAAGCCCTAAAGGTCGGAGGGCTGAGGGTTCAGAGCTTACGCTTCATGATGAGGCTTGAGGGTGTGTCTTTCGGGTTTGGGGATTTAGGGTTTCGGGCTTAGGGGCTTAGGGTTTAGGGCCTAGGTTTTGGGCTTAGCGTTCACAGTTTAGCGAGACTTGTCGTGACAATCTTAACTGCCACCAGCTCAGCCGCGACTGTGTCACGTCAGTAAACTGAATGAATACGGTCGGAGGTACTGCTTTGATGTTTGCCACTGTCACAGTGCACTGATGAATCTGATGAAAGAGCCCTCAGATACATACATAAACGCTTCCAAGACGCCCGTGCTTCTGAACACCCCTGAACCCCTGAAAGCCCTGCACCCGAAACGCCAAACCCAGGCCTCTTGAACCGGCTGACGGTTCGAACTTAGTCACGTCTCGTCTTGGTGAGTCCTCGTCCTGTTACAATGCGCGAAGCGCCGCAACCTCGAAATAGATACCAGCCCTGTAGCACAGCTAAATCCCGTGCATGACTTCCCTAATTAGAATAGCAGGTCGGGGTGTATCGCTCATGAAACAGAGTTCGATCGGGATTATACTATGCAAAAAACAGCGGTGCTAGTTGACCCTATCTCTGTACTTCAGAGGCCTGGATCTTCACAGCGGCCATTTCGCGCAGCCACGCATCCTTTGCGAGCTTGCGCATGTACTGCTGGCAGAGCCTGGAGCACGCGAGGACGGATGACTGCGCAGCGTTTCCAGTTTAAGGTTTAGGGCGCCTTGGAAAAAGGATGCACACTGCGCAGTACCCAGTCACCCGTACATGGTTTTCTGATGTTACGTGGAGTTGACCTAGGAGCGGATTTCGGAGAATACATGGGTAGTTATATTACTGTAAACTGCTTGAATTACATGCAACTTACCTACAATCCCCAGAACCTCAACCCCTACCTACCTATGTACAGTATATGCGAAATATTTTGAAAAATAAACCTGTGCATGTATGTATGTATGTGTATATATATATATATGTGTGTGTGTGTGTGTGTTTGATTATATGCATATACATATACATCATATACATCATGTACATCATATACATCATATACATCACATATACATGTACATGTACATATACATACACATATACATATACACATACATAAACATATACACAAACACACAAACAAACAAACAAACAAACAGACATGCATGCATGCATGCATGCATGCATGCATATATACACACACATACACATGCACATGCACATACACACACATGCACAGACACGGACACAAACACACACATGTACACGTACACGTACACATGCACACATACACGCACACAGACACACACATACATCCACATCCACATATGCATACTTATACATATACCATATATACTTACATACCTATTAGTGCAGTCATCTCTGTGTGTAGCAACCATCAACCCTAAACCCGATAGGGGACGAAGACACAATGACGTCTCTGCATACCGGGCGCACACTGATGCAGAAGCGATTCAGGCTTGGGGCTTAGGGCAAACACACCATCACATCCTCCGCACGTTCGCTCCTTTCTGCAACGGTGACAGTCGAGAGTTCAGGGTTCTTCCGGCGACTAGACTTTGTTCGAAAATCTAGACTGCATGGGCGAACCGCATAGACCGCAGCTCACTCTTGAGTCGGACAATACTTTCGAGACCACCGTGGATAGGATCCCCCCAGGTAACAATGGATCCATCGCCAAGGATAGCAGCAAACGCATTGTAGCAACCCGAGATCTGCTCCACATTCTTCAGTCGTTCCTGTACCGAACTGCTGTCCCCACCGGATCGAGCATGTCCCCAAGTCACCACAGAGCCGTCGGCCAAGATCGCTGCGAAGGCCTTTTCAGCAGCTTTGATGCGATGTACATGTCGCAACTGATCCTGCACGCCGTGGCTGTCGCCACCATAGGTGGCATCTCCCCATGTGACAACAGAGCCATCCCCGCAAAGAGCAGCCTTGGTTCATAAGTAGCATCTTTATAATAAGGGTACCCTTTTTCCTACTATTCGGTTTTAGTAAGGGGGCCCCAAAATAGAAAGGGCAAAAGGGTACTACTCAGGGACCTAGCAGCAAAGGCACGACTCGAAGCCTGAATCTCGCGCACATTCGTCAATCGATCTTGCACGGCACTGCTGTCACCTCCAGCGACCATACCCCAACACACCACCGATCCGCCCTCCAACATGGCAGCAAAAGAGTGCAAGTTCGCTTGAATTTGATGTACGTGCTTCAGCCGCTCTTGCACAGGATTGCTGTCTGAGGCGCCCCAGGTTACGACAGAGCCATCCGCACAAATGGCTGCAAAGCCGTTCGTTGAAGCCTGGATCTGTTGTACATGCCTGAGTCGCTCCTGCACAAGACCTCGGTCTCGACAAGGAACCCAGTCTAAGTTAGCATAATGGAGCGGGCATCGCAGCTGCTATAGAATCCTATTATTCTGGTATCCTGTAATGCAAAGCGAACCACTTGTAACCTCACAAGACCATTGTTCGCCTTGTTAAAGAACCGAGCACTGAAACTGAAGCTAAGTGAACACAGACACTGCTGTCGCCACCGTGCATAACATCGCCCCAGGTCACCACGGAGCCATTAGCGAGGATAGCGGCAAAAGCTCGGTGCGAGGATTGGATCTGCTGGACGTTCTTCAGCCGATCTTGAACGGGGCCTAGAGGCTGCATGGGGTTTCGTAGAGCTTTCGTAAAGTTGTATAAAGGGTTTATAGGAAGTGTCTGTGTTTTGTCGCTTTTTGTCGGGTCTCCAAATGCTCGAACTGGCTTTGTATGCAACTTGTTTTGTGGCTTTAAGGAGCAGCCTTAGGTGTTCTCGCTGAGGGGCTTACTTCCAGTAAATGTGTCAAACTAGTCGCTTGCATTATGCCATGGCAACCAAAAAAGACTCTTCTTTCTCACGACTCTAGGCACTGCTGTCGCCACCGCGGAAACCATGTCCCCACGTCACGACGGAGCCGTCGCTGAGAATTGCGGCAAAAGCATTCTTTGAGGCACGGATCTTCTGCACCGCTTTCAGTTGATGTTGCACGACACTGCTATCCCCTCCTGAAGTAGCATCACCCCATGTGACCACCGAACCATCTAGGAGGATTGCGGCAAAGGCCCTATCAGTTGCAGCGATGCGCTGCACATTCTTCAGCTGGCTTTGTACAGTGCTGCTGTCGCCTCCATACTGAACATGACCCCAAGTCCTTAGCTGTGAAATGCATGATTGGGTCTAGGTGTAGGGCTGGGGTAAACAGCCTGGATGCACCTGTAGACTATGAGCTCAAAGTGCAGCTCTTGTGAGAATCCTCAGATACCTGTAATGCCTTGTGCCGCAACAGTGTGAAGAAGTATATACTGTACTCCAAACCTAGGGGCACGACCGAGCCATCTCCCAGGATCGCAGCAAAAGCGCTGAAACAGCTTTGGATCTCTCGCACGCTCTTCAGCTTGGGCTGAACAGATGTGCTTTCACCACCGAAGCCAGCATGACCCCAAGTGACGACGGAGCCGTCGCTGAGGATGGCAGCAAACGCACCAGGGTTGTCACATAACAACACTCTCCGTACCTGGTACGTCAGCTCATCCCCATTCTTCAGCCCTGCCTCCTGGACTGTTGCTGCTTCGTCCAGGCTGCCAGACAAATGCAACAGGACGCCCGCACCCACCTTACTTCCCCAATAGGCCAGGGAAACAAAAGGTTAACCTTTCAGATTGCTACGAGATTATAATAATCCAAAAGGATTAAAGCTTGTGTATTGGACAACTAAGCCACCCCTAGCGCGCTCTGAGCACGCTGTCTTAGCAACAGAATGGCATCCTCCGGCTCAGCTTCTACGGAGACACCTCTGCCACTTAGCAAGCTCACACTCAGAGTTACCGACATGGTTGTGGCCGGGCAAAGTGCTACCTTGCTGCTTAAGCAGAGTGGCAGAGTGGCCGTCATATATGCAGCAACGTCAACCCGGACATACCCAAGATGCCCCGACAAACGAACGACCGAACGTGTGGCTGGACTCAAGCAGTGACCGCTCTTACTCTTCTGATCTTCTTGGAAGCATGCCCGGATTGATCCTGATAGTGTTTCTGTTGCTTTGCTCTTCGTGCTCTGGCGGCTCTTATATGACATATCGGAATACAACGCTGTTTGGGGATGTTTGTGGTTTCCGGGTTTTCGTTAGGGGTTCGGGGTTTTGGGGGTTTGGGTTCAGGGGTTTATAACGGTTTAGGTCTTAGGGTCTAGGGTTGAATTCAAACCTCACACTGCTTATTTAGGAGAACCCTTCTGCGCAGTCGAAAGATACTACGCCCCCCCAACCCCAAGTGAAACTGACCCAAAACCTACCACCCTCAACCACACCCCAAACCCTAAACCTAAAGTGCGCCTGGTCTTCAGGCAGGCCTGGATGGTGGAGGCAGACCAGCCAATGGCTAGCGCCTAGAGCATCCATGCTTTGGATCTTGGAGGCTCTGTTTCGACGCGTTTAGGGTACACCTGTAGCCGAAAAGACCTACCTTTTTAGGGTTCCTTATGATGGTTTCTATATATATATATATTAATATATATATATATATATTAATTAATTAATTAATTAATTAATTAATTAATATATATATATATAGATATAGATAGATAGTCCCTTAAAAAAGGTAGGCTTTTTCGGTTACAGGTAGGGTTTAAGTTAGAAGAGCCCCGGTTGTGCTTCGGGCTGGCCTAAACTCCGGGCCCTGAAAAGCCTAAACCCGAAACCCTAACCCTGAACCCTAGACGTGAGTTCATAAACCCCAAAAACTATACCCTACAAAGGAAATCATGGCTTATTGCAGGCTTGCTTATAGGAGCGGGTGGCAAAGGATGCGGAGTTCAACAGAAACCCAACCTTGAATAAGCTTCCAAAGCCCCATGAGCAGGCCTCCAAGACTCAGACCCCAAAGCCCGGAACCTCAAACCCTAAGTCCCAAATTAAAGCCTAAACACTAAACCTCGAACCCTAAACCCTAAACCCCAAACCCCTAACCCTAAACCCCTAACTAAAACCCCCAAACCCTAAACCTCAAACCCCCCAAAAAACCCAAACCCTAAAGCCTACGCCCGCGGTTTTTTGCTCAGGGCTTGGAGCCTCGTTGCCATCTTCGGCCCCTCAATGACTCAAGTCTCCAGATCCCTTAGGATTTGGGGCACCCTTGGGGATATGGACCCTCTCAATAAGGTCCCCCTTAAAAGAGCCACAAGTAGGGTTCAGAAGGGTCCCCATTAAGGGGTCCCCCTAATACTACCTATAGTAGGACTTGAGAAATGTATCGTAAATTATGGCAGGACCCCCTTCTATGAGCTAAGGAATACTTCTTGACTATTGGATATTGGAAGATATGCCATTATGAGTACCGTTTGAAGCTAAAGTTCCAGAAAAACAATTTCGAATAGAACCCTCTTTCCCCGAATACTGGAAGGCCTTACTCAGCCGCAAACCCATAATCGTGTCAAGTCTGCTCATGCTGAAATTTCCCTAAACCCGAAATCCCAAACCCTAACCCCCCCCCCCCCATGTTAGAATTTCTTCTCAGACCCCATCAGACGCAAGCTCTGAGATCTTGACAATGCTACAGATATGCTTAGTGCAGAATATCCGACGTTGTTTCCTAACGCTCTTACTTTATAAACCCTGCAGCCTTAAAGAACACTGAAAGCCAACATAAAAAGAATAAATCTAACACCACTACTACTACTACTACTACTACTACTACTACTACCACTACCACTACTACTACTACTACTTCTACTGCTACTACTACTCCTGCTGCTGCTACTGCTACTAGTACTACTGCTGCTACTACT